TAGGGAATCTTACTTTTCAATATTCTCTTGTTTTTTTCTTTTTTTTCTTTTTTTTTTCTTTTTTTTTTGATATAGAAAAGGTATAGGATAGGTAGTGTGTGTGTAAAAAAAATGCAGAATGAAAAATAAGTAATAACAAGTCAAAATAAGTGATTATAAAACGAATGAAAGTTATATAAGTTTTAAAATATTCTAAAATATGTCGCACGGATTTTAGGTAAATCTCAAATTAAAGTTATAATTAAAAATCGAAGTTGTAATAAAAAATCAAAGTTATAATATTGATTATTTTGTTAGTACGGAACGGAAAATTTGCGGTTTTAATTATAATAGTAATATTTGCGTACTTTTTACGCAAAAACAGTCTCGCAACTTTTGCGAGAATTACTCCGCTTAGCACAGCGAAGTATTTTGCTTCGTTACTTTAACGAAGCATCAGTCCGCAATTTTTTTGCGAAACTTGTTTATCGAAAACGGAACGGATCGAAAAAAGAAAATTAAAAACATAGTGAAAAATTCGATACATCTACACATTCGAAATTTAAAGTTAAGTAAAACGCGATCAAAATTTCTACGTAAAACTTTTCGTACTAAACCTAAAAATCGCGGTAATAATAACGCTAAGTCGTTAAAATTAAAGAAATATCTGCTAATTATATTCTTACCCGATATACTTTTCCGATAGAATATCTCTAGAATTTCTAACTTTATCGTGAAATTCTCGCGAAAAAAATAATCTTTAATCAATATTAATGGACAACAAAAATTGAAAAAAATTGCAGAAGTTTTAAACTAAAAATTTCGCGAAATCTAAAACCGCGTACACGACCGCGATCGCGTGATTTCCTCGCACTTGCGAGGTCCAGGGCGTCNATTTTGACGCAAGGCGAACTAAACGTTCGCAATTTGTTGAATATGAGAAATCATCGAGAAAAAACGTATAAAATAATCATTCTATAAAGCAATCTCAATTGTTTCGAAACGAGAGTAATCAGTATATCTTGTAGCAATTTATATATCTTATTATACGTTTTTGATAAATGTATAGGAATATCTCAAAAGAGATTTCTATTCTATATTATTC